GTCACCGTGAGTCCTCTCGGAAAGGAGTCCCATTTGCGTTGTTCATATAAAAAATGTGTTTAATCTTTCTGGGTTGAGATTTGTAGTATATACATTTTTTTTTAAGAGAAATGAGTGTTTGATTTTTTTAAAATTATTATTATTATTTTTTAAACAAAATTTTAGACCTAACACCATGTGTCACAGATGTAACCTGAAGATGCTGCCAATAACAAACTTACTACATATCACAAGCGCTGGGGCGGAGCAAAACCATCAGATTTACTATTATGGCCACTTATGCTTTGTTATTTAGAATGGGGGTGGATCTCTCATGATTGCTGCTGACATATTCAGCATAATAAAAAACAAAACAAATGTACAGAAAAAAAACGCCAAACACAAAAGGATTAAGAAGTGGTGCCTGAGCACTTGAGACAAAAGGGCACATTGTACCAGAGACATATGACAGTGAAGTACCCTGAGCCAAATAAGCACTGTTTAGCTTGTCAGCTTTTGCAACCTGTATTGCACATTCCAGCATTTGCTGCATTATAAAGCCAAAATACTGTGCTATACATCCTGAAGATATCTGCTGCCTCACTTGGTGCCAGCAGTGCCCAGCTGTTACTTCAGCCCCAGAATCATTGCCTGTTCATGAGCAGACACACACCCACACACTGTGCTTTGTGTGTGCACAAGCATGTGAGTATGTATAAGGGGAAAAGGTCTGTATCTCACTGCAAATCTACCTTGCTACATACGGGTATGTATTGTTTTAATGTTACATGAGTAGTTAGTAAGTGCCCATATAAATCTTCCACATTTGAGACAATTGCAAGGATGTTTAAGTACTGTAAATGCATCCCTCACCTGATGCCCACGTGGGGATGTAGCTTTCAAGGAAAAGCATTCCTTGCATTCAGTGTAGCTGCATTTTTGCACAATGTTATTTTTGTTTTCTTTTTAAAATATTGATCTTTTTTTCCTGCTATCTCATCTGATGAAAGAATTTGTTGCCTTTACTTAGATAAAAAAATAAAGTAAAAAAGAAAAAGTTTGCTCAGCTAGATGGTATGGGCTCAAGCAGAGATGTTCGATCTGCCAGGATTAGTATTTAATCTGTTGTCTCAAACAGGGCTTTTTGCAAAGGCCTGAAGACATTTCATGAGCTGAGAGTGATGATGAACTGGAAGTTTATTACTCTGCAGTTAATTCCAGTGGTACAGCTATTTCACTTCTAGAAATGCTCTCAAAGAAAACATTGGACAGACACTTTCGTGCAAGAATCACCGGTGTCACCTTAAGCTTTATCTACTGAAGGATACCGGGATAAAAGTGCTTGCACTGGTATAAAAGTGGTCCAGCAAAGCAAAATAAGCTGTACCAGTATAAAGTGCTTTATAGAGATACAACTGTTTTTACATGAGGACTTTCACCAGCATAGTCACATCAATAACAAAGTTTTTCACTCACTTCCCTGACATAACTATAAAGCTTCTGAAGTGCAGCCTGTGCCTTAGATTTAATCTGTGCTGAGCTAGAGACTGTTTGCTGAAGATGTTTTCAAAACCATCTAAACATGGTAGGAAATCCAGGTTAGGAGCATAAGGACAGTGTTTGGAGTCACGTAGACAGAGGGTAAATATACTGAATTCAAAGGAGTAGCTCTGGATTTACACTGCAATATATGCATTCAGAATCTGGCTTCTGTGTTTTAGATATTGGTATAAAGCTGAAGACTGAAATGAAGATGGAGGGAGGCGGCTGCAGGGAGGATTAGGAACATGCTGGCACAACACGGCACAGTGCGTGTGGGATGCACACCCAGGTTTTATGCTTGGCACATGTTAGCTTGCAAAGGTATGTTGGCTTTTTATTATCACCATAAACCCATTGTTTTTATTTTGTATTCTTTCACTTCAGCAGGCAATTGGGGAATAAAATCCTTAATTTCTATGTGCTTGTGTGAAGTCAACCACTGCAGGGAATAATTAAGAAGAAAAAAGAAAATCCAGGAAGCATTTCTTTCTGGAATAACTACACAATGGCTCATCAGGGCCATCAACAGAGAGACTTATCTTGACTCCAGGTGCTGACAAATTAGGGCCTCAGCTTGATGAAAAGTGAATTGAAATATAGCTTCAGATGCATGCCATTTATTCTACAGGCACAACTTTCAAATGTTCTATTCACTGTGGTCTAATGTCACATATCAAAAGGCTCAGTTTACACCTCTCAATGTCCAGCTCCAACTCTTCAGCATTGTTACTGAAAAGTTTTTAGTTCTAGTGAAATTCAGCAACCTCTTATTGGTCATTCCCAACTGAGAACAGAGGTCTGGCAAAAAGGAAAGTTGCAACCTGTGGGATCAGTTGTGAGGGAGCTTGGAAACAACAACAACAAAAAACTGGTCTGAGGTCTCCTGAATGGCCAATAGCCAGGAATGACAACTTTATGTAGCTCCTAAGCACACTTCCTGGGAGCAAAAGTAATATGTTAGGTTGTACTGTGAGAAGATGGGCACATATCAGTAGCGCTTTTCAAAATATATAGAGGTGGTTATATCAGTGCTCTTGCTTGGGGAGAGATGGGCTCTAAAGCCTGCTGTAATTGCAACATATTGATCTGGAATCTGTGATCAATACTGTCTTTATAGAGAGAATTTTAAATATAAATTGCATCGTATATCTGTTTGTGAAGGCAAAAGCCCTGTGTGACGAGATCCAACTCCACTTAGCCACGGCACTTTCTCCAGCCTGAGAGGTATGATTGCAGCAGAGAGGGGACAGCGGCCTCGGACCAGCCTGGCCTCGGGCACTGAACAGAGTCATTTTTTCCCTGGGAGTAAATCTCTGCTAAAATGAGGTTGCCATCTTCCATCCCCTTGTGTTTTCTTAACAGGTTTGATTGCAAGACAATATTCACAGCAAGACCAAAGCAACTGGTTGACTTGAGCAGCTGTGCTTAAACCAGAGCAGCACCTTCATGGCAGGACTGGGGACATTGGGAATTAGCAGAGGGCAATTCTACAGAAAGGAAATGGTCCCCTTGGGTAGCTCTCACACAGAAGCTGCCCTGCACAAAAACTCTGTTCCTTTCGTACTTTCCTGCTAACCAAGGGCAGCTCACTTTCCCTGCAAAGCCGTGGATGCTCCCCAGTGAGAACATCCCTTTCTACTTTAGGAACTGAACTGTGGGTATTAATTAGGCAATAAATCTGGATTTTTATCAGGACACAATTAAGGAAAGAAAAAAAGACCAAAAATTGAGGGAAACAATCCTTGCCATCTGAATGTGTTAGGGCTGACTCAATAGCCTGTAAAACTGGCTTGGAAGGCTTCAAACCCTATCATGTTAATACATAATTATTGATTTTTAAAATGACTCCTTCCATCCTCCATGATCTCTAAAAAAGCTAGGGAAGTCAGTCTTGTAAATATTTTCACAAGTAGGCAATAAAGCCCATGACAAGTTGCATTGACAAGTAACCACTGGGCAGGTTTGTTAGTAGATTCTCAGAGAGCTTTTTTAAACCAACAATTATTATTGTACTAATGACAGCCAAGTTTAAAGGTAAGTGTCCTTCTCCCTCTCAGCTTAAATAATCAGAGCCTGGAAAAAACACCTGAGTGTGATTCACTGAAATTCTTATATATTAGGCTCCAAAGAGATGCTGATTACATCTCCCTCTTTTGAAACAGCGCATGTTTGTTAAGGTGATATGGCTTAGTTTGACATGGATGGTGGCAGGAAGGGTACTATGGTTTCTGAGTAAATCTCTCAAAGCAGTGCATAAGGATAACACTTCTTACTGCTTTATTGCAGTGCAAGAGCATAAAGAGCTTGGATATGTGGTGTATCAATATGCCACTTGTTAATAAGCAAGGATTTGAATCATAAATATTTGGCTGTTTGATCACCAGGCTTTTAATTAATGTTTTGATGATCTCCAATAAGAATAAAAGTCAGAACGATAGATATTGAGTAGATACGACAGAGAAAAGATGCAATGATTTTCTGTGTTACCTGATTTATATGACAGATAAACTATCAACTCATCCAGTTTCATACAGGGAGAGAGGAGAGACATACTTTTTTTATATCATATTGTAAAAAAAAAAAAAGTCACTTAATTCAAATGTGTACCTAAAATGTTCCCAGAAGACAGCGATGCAGGCAAAATAATCAAGGTTTAGCACTGTGTAATAAAGGTTTGTGGCCAGATTTTAAATGAAGTAGCTATTTCCACACTTGTCTGTGTTGGAGTGAAGCTTCCTGAGCAGAACATGCCTCTGGGACAGCCAAACCTCCCTTGGGTGTACCAGTCCTCAGCTGTGGAGTCCCAGGTGCCAGCACATTTGGGGATGTGGGATGGTGGGACCATGTTTTCTATCACCACCCCACTGCTCACTGGGTTTGGGGCATCAGGAAAGCCTCTTTTCTGCCAAAATCGAGCAGTTGGTGCCCCAAAGAGCCCCAGTCTTGGATGCTGCGGGCCACCCTCTTGTGGGAAGAGTGTTCCTCACTCCCAGCAGCAGCCCATGTTGGCATCCGTGTGGCTCAGACATAGCAAAGCATACTGCACAGAGGGTTTCTATGAAAGCAGATGGCCAAGCACAGGGAGCAGGATCAGGGTCATCTGAAGTCAGTGGGAACGTCACCCATTGGATGCCACAATAAGCCAAATATTTTTCATAGAGCATCCAAAAAAGAGTGGGGATACACACATGGTTTATCCCAGGAGGCATTTTACCATGGTGCTTGCTGCCTTTGGGTCTGGGGCACAGGACCCACCTTGTGCAACTTCACTTAATAACTCTGAACTGGGCTGTGCAATTTAACAGCTTCTGAGGAGCTCAGTGCTAATGCATTGATTTTGCTTTAATAGAATTTTGTTGTCAATGGCTGGTGCTCAGCACGGTGCAGGCTTCAATCTTAACCCATCTGAAGGCTCTGCTCGTTTCCAGTTGAGCTCCGTTCATTTCCAGTTGAATAGGTTAAGCAAAGACAGACCTCACTGTTCTCAATTCACTTTATGATCCTCCCATCATAAAAAATAATATCAGCACCTTGCTTTTCATGTCAGAACTACATTTGAGCTGCTATTCCCTATGCCCATGAGTAAATCCCATAAAAGCCGCCCCGTTGTACTGTCGTTATTTTTCCTTGTGGATGATTGATTGATGGATGAGTGCTGACACTTCAATGAAGCTATTTCGACTGCCATCTCAATCCGATGATGTGAGGGGTATATTTTCTGTCCATGCCTCATTACTTCAGAATGACATTCCTGGAACTTCATTTACTTTTTCCCTCCTTCCCTCAAGCGCCATATTTTTTCCCATCTAGGTTATGCATGCCATAAAAAAAGCAATTTGCTATTATATGTGGCATAAGGGCAACACTTTCCCTAGGAGGTAAATAAGAAGGGCCTTTTTTTTCTCCTTCATGTTGAGTTTAGGGATCATGTCAAAATTTCCCAAACAATGCCAAAACAGGTCCTTCTGCACAAGCCACAGGGAATGCAGTAAACATGTTTAGTCTGATTTCGTGAATGCTGCACTGCAATTATATCCTTCAACATCTAAACAAAAACAATAGTAAAAGACACCCCAAAGCCCTCTCTTATTTGAGAATGATCCTCTTCTTAACTTGTGCCTAGCATACTTTGAATATTTCATTTGCAATGGAGTAGTGATTTGCAACCTGATGCAGACTTATTTTTCCTTTGAGGATAAGGAAAGTTCATCGTTCGACACAGAGATGGGTTTGTCTACTGGAGATTGCTGTAGCTGCAAGGAAATGCTCAGCGAGAGCAAAAAGGGCTGTGCCTGATTTTCCAAGCAGTGCACTAGGTAATGTGAGACTCGTGACATTAGCATATCCTGGAAGATTTTGTGAGTTGACTCGGGACCCGATTTTAATCTGTGTAATACAGTATTCCCGTTAATAATAATGTATAATTAAGACATCCGTTAAAAATCCATAACGTTAATTTAATGGAGAAAATCTAATACAGTTCTATTGGAATTTTTACGTTAAATTAACTTTAACGGGCTTTTAATGGATGTCTTAATTAGAACTCATTATTAACGTGAATATTCCACAAATTAAAACGGGGACCTCAAAGTTTTAATGAAAAAAGTTACCAGCACAGATTTGAAATTGCCATCTTTGTAGCCCCCTTCTCCCCAGGTCTCGGTTGACTTGAAGTCAGCTGTGCTTCCCAGCCCATCTGTGCCAGGTCGGCCGGAGAGCATGAAGACCAGATTCTGATCTCATTTCTGGTTGCATAAGTCCAATGTAACTCCACCGACTCTAACAGAGAGCTTCAGATTTACACCCATCTAACTGAGAAAGGAATTCTACTTTTGTTCTTTTATATCTATATATAGATATTTATATAGTGATATTTATATATAGATATACCTATATCTATATAATGTTCAATAATCTAATAATAGTACTTTTGTTTTAAAAATCACTCCATTGCATATGTCTCATCGTAAACCATAATGGAGATTTAAATATATATATATATCTGAGGAATAAAACAAACTGAAAATAATCCATTTCAAACAAATCTTTGGCAGCAACATGGTTAAGCATAACTATTTGAACAACTTGCACAGAAGATTAACATTGTTCAGAGGTTTTTTGGCTCAGAATCTGTTTTAACTTAATAATTCTTGTACTTACTGTGATGTATTGATCCCTAGTGCAATGACTGGATTGGGCAACCCAGGTGCAACAGTAATAGCTGCACAGAATAGAAACATTTCCTTTAGACAAACTATCCCAAAGGGGTTATAAATAGGAAATGGACATTACCATGAAAAGTAAAGCTTCCAATGTGACTGCATCTTGTGTAGCACACTTGGACATTAAACTATGAAGAATTTTTTTTTCCTGTCAAGTGTTACAAATTGACGAAATAAGTACATCAATGTTCTCAGTCATTATCTTACTTCAGTGGCACTTTGTTTTAGTGACAGCAAAAAGGGACAGTGGAGACCAGACAGCCCCAGTGCAGTTTATCAATGAAAATCTAATATCGTCCATAAGCAGGGGAGTGGAAATCAATACTTCATTACCAAATTGTTAGTGAGGATGAAGAAGAATAGCTGGAGTTTTTTTGGCAGTCTTCGCGGTCCGGGTTGCTGTGAGTTCAATGTCAGGATTGGAGTGCCGTGCAGGGTGCGGGAAGCCTGGGCTGGAGAGCTGGAACTAAGGCATTCGTCCTGCAAGCAGAATATTAATAACTGTTATTACAATGACTATTGTTACCAAGTTTCCAATCACTATTCCAGATTTTATTGAATGCCTACTTTTATCAATAGAAAATTCTGGAAATGAGACAACTTTGCTTTACTTTGTCCAGCTATAGGCTCCAAAAAAGCAAGGACACAGGAGTGAGAATAAAACCCACAGATCCTCAGGTCTGTAACTGTGTGGGGATTAGTGGGTAAACTCCAACTGATGCTGTGGCTCTGCCTGGAGCCCTGAGTGTGTTCCTCCTTATCTCTGCTTTTCCCCCATGTCACTTAAACCTGGACACTATAATGAGCTCTTTCTGCTACCAGCCAAAATATACTCTAAAATCCTCATGGTGAGTTCAACATCTTGTACCCACATTGTGTTTAATTACCCGACTATCGCTGTGTTATTTCTGGTTGTTGTGGCACCTCTCCAGCATTAAAAGCCTCCGTTCTTCCAACGGACCTTTTCCATTCTGCAGCTACTAAAAGTGCTAAGTGACTCGAGTTGTGAAGTTGCTTCTACACAGAGACAGAAGGTGCTTGTTTTATTTAATTTCAAGATGTGGGTTTAAAAGTTCAGCCCAAAGTAGAGTTCTTTTTTGCTTATAACCTGGGAGAAAGATACTGTGAGAAGCAGTAGAAAAAACAACTGGAAAAATAGGGTGAGAAATGAGGCAGGCAATAAGTACAGTGAAAGTCAATCTGCAGAGAGCACAGAGAAAAAAAGACCAGCAGTAGGCAGAGAAATATGTTACTGAAAAATATATTATCTGTTCAAGGCCATGGACATTTCAGCAAACACAACTCAAATCCTGCGGTGTGTTCCCTGTGTTCTGGCTAAATCAACTGGAAATTCAGTAGTAGCTTTAAATAAAGTAAAATAAACTCAGCTTTCAAAAGAATTCCATATGAAAACAAAAAAGCCCATTGACTTCATGTTATTTAGCTCATAATTTGGTTTGTTTTACAATATCTTCACCTTTTCAGTTTTCACAGTGATGCTGAGTTTTGCGTTGGCAACCCAAACCTGCTATGGAGAAATTGCTGGAAGGGAAGAAGAGGTTTTGGCAGCTGAATGTAGAGACTTTTGGCAACTAAGGATGCCTGGAAGCCACTCTGAAATTGTGGTGAATACCTTAGGTCCACTTAAAAGATATTAAAAGCAATCCATGTTGACACTTTAAAATGTTGCCTTTAGGTTTCAGAGGTAAGGCTCCAGAGCAATTCACACTTTGCAAAGCTACTATTTTTCACTGCAAAGGGACAAAACTGTGTCAGTTTACACCTTGTTTGAATTTTAAAGAAATCCAGAAGCCTTACTATTGCAATGCCTAGAGCTGAAATATGGTAATGCCATGGGCTGGCTCTGCTTCTGGCCAAGCTCTCAGCTGCAGAATCACCCTCTGCAAACGTCCAAGTGCAGACTGCAGAGGTGGTACAGGCACTGGAATTTACCTTTCTGAGTAGATTTTTGCAGCCTTCACCAGGGTTAAAGCTACCTGTGGCATGCCATGTTAGTCCTGCCTTGGAGCATACCAAGCTCTGTAGCAGCTCTGACATGCAGAGCATCTGCCTAACTCATGGATGTGGGACACTGTGGGCTGGTCCAGCATAAGCCAACAAGAAGGACAGTGGTGAAACGGCCGAATGCGAGAGCGACAACTCTTGATTAATTCAATTCTGCCTCCAGAATGCCATTAGGACAATTGAGCAGCATGTAGTTTTACTGAAAGTGCTAAATCTGGGAAGTAGACTTGGTATGCAGCGAAGTAACTGCAGAGTACTGGTTCCCTGCCAGTGGGAAATATTTATCAAGGGCTTGGACTGGAAAACTGAGAAGCCAAACTCCTGCCTCCTTTTCTTTTTAATTCATTGCAATGAAGGCCCTTAGGCTTTTGTATTAGACCAGCTGTAAAATCAGGTTAGTAATACTCCTGGTCACTCCCCCATCACAAGGGTAACATGTACAGAGCAACATTAAGGACACTGTTAAACCTGGGTAGCACTGACAGAGGCACATCAGACAGGGTGTAGGTCTACAACAGGTCTTGCTGCTGGAGGAAAGGTTAAGATGGAATGAGGCACTGGGAACTGGAGTTCCTTCCTGGGAACTGGAGGGGATCCTCTGTACTGCTGTGTGTGTGAAGGCAGGTATGGTTCAGCACTGCTATAAAAGCCATTTGTGACAACTGTACAAACTTTTGGGGCTAAGCGTCCATACACTTGACTAATGGTACTATCCATGCATGATTAAAATCAATTGGGACTTGGTATTGATTTCAATGGGATAAGTACTTCACCCTGAGGTCTTTTGGGCAACCGAAGTCTCCATCCTTGGGTTTTATTCCCTTGCATTGATATCACTGCAGGCTGGGACAGGACTTTGGGAAATTAATTAGTGTAAGCCGTGATCAATAAGGGTCATAGTTTATGTATTTCATTATCAAGTTGCTAAGAGATTCAGGGAGTATGCGGAGAGCTTGTCACCCACAGTCTGGGGCATAGCAGCTTGGACATTTAAACAGCACTTGATGGGCAAACTTTGCTGCTTCCTGGGCTGTTGTTGAAATGTAGTTCAACCTGCACCATAAAGAAAACCCTGTCACTTAAATTATGTTATGAAAATGTGGTTGAGGGTGTTCATTATGCTGATGTCTTGTACAGCATATGCGAAATATCAGTTGCAGATCCTGAAGCTTTGCTTTTAGTTAACATTAATTATCAAGCCATCAGCAGATGTGAAAAGTTGTATCTATTTTAATGCAGATGTGTCAGGACTCAGGATTCCTTCTACCAATCACTTTCCTGCTCCTTGCCCGTGGCACAGCTTCCCTCTCCTCATTCAGATCTTGCTGTACAAACACAGCTGTGAAACTTCTGAAATAGGAGCACTCAAACATGTCTGCGATCCGAGACAACTGTCAACTGCATGTTAACAGCTAATCGCCATGTGTCCGGCCTCCGCGGGCTGGCACCAGCACTGCTCAGCTGTGCTGCTTCGTCCCCACATGGTTCCTGGCTCGTGAGAGCTGTGGTGAGCTCACTCACATGTGCACACATGTGCCAAACCCCGTGCTTTCGTTCTCTCCCTCTAGCCTCCTTTCCGCCTTCTCTCCATGGCCAAAAGCCACACTAACCAAATGACACGGGCTGTCTGTTCATGGGGTGGTTTTCAAGCCCTTCACTTGGGGATTGCTGTCACTGTTTGGTTTTTGGGGTCAGCAGGAGCACACCAACCACTTGAGTGGCATAGTCCAAGGTCTGGTGGTACTCTAGAGCTAGGCAGATGACAGCAGGTTTATGTGTTTATAATGTTCTTTTTTTGTATTCCCAGACCCTTGCTAATATAATTTTATCATCTTCTATTAGTGTAATGGGATAATAAAAGTGACAATATGTACCCCTGATCCACCACCACAGGCCATGGGAGTCTATGGATCAAAATCTTTTCATGCTGCTGCTATACCTATAGTAATTTATTATAGGACTCTTAAAAGGCCAAAAAGAAAGACACAGACAGTCCCTTTGTGGTTACCAAACATGTTATCTCTAGATGTCATTTTTGACCTACTTTTGCTAGATACTAGACAGCAGCAGAAAATCTGTTCCTTAAAGAATCATGCTTACGTGCATAATACCTAGATAGGAAGAAAAAGCAAATTTGGATATATTTTATTTAATTTAGGACTCCTCTCACCATGAATTACAATATTACAGACTCTAAATGCCTTCTCGTTACCCATAATTATAACTAAAATTATATCAATCCAAACAGTAACTACTCAAATGATTCATCCTGATTGTAAGGAGCATGCTCTCTTAAGTTATATGCCTGCCCATCCATTTTAAAGCCTTTTGGCAGTAATAGCTTTACAGAAGGTCATTTAACAGCACATTAAATAAATAAACAGAACATATTTGTTTCAGAAATCACACTCTAGCATGGTGGGAAACATTTTGGGAGAGGTAAGAATAACCCTTGTGAAAACTAATACTTTCAGCTCTTCGTTCTTGCTGAAGGTGCCACCCAGATGCATGCAGAGGCTCCATGCGATACCAGCAGGAAATGGTCCCTAATGTGCTTTATAATGAAGGGTGCTGTGCCAAGAAGCTGCACTGTCTACAGCAGAGAAGTCACAGCTGCTGCACAACAGAGAACAGGAGGAGGACACACCAGCACAACTCACCATGGCAGGTCCCTCTTGTGTCCCTGCAGAAGGTACCAGGCTTTGTGGATCCAGCCTGAGCCAGCAGACGTGTGGAGAGGGAAGTGTGGAAAAAAGTCTGCCTTATTGTAGGACATATGTGACCTAAGCTTATGAGAATGTGGGACAAGACAATGGAAAAGAAATGTGGGCTTTAGCTCAGATGTTCCCGGGGTGTGTCTGCTTAAATACAAAGTCCTCTGGCTGCAGCAACACCCAGGTGGAGGAGTTCAGAGACATCACTGCCTGGGATGATGGAAACTACATTTAATAAAAAACTTGAAGCTATCAAGTTGGATTTATCTCAGAAAACTCTTTGTTGAAGATACTTTGTTAAGAGGCTGAGGCCAAGGACAGATAAAAGACCCTGGGATTTCAGCAGCAAGAGCATCAGAACACATATCTGTAGCTGGTGCAAAACACCTTCTCTGTGGGAGGTCAATGGAGTTATGCTGATTAACCTCAGCTGGTCTGGCTCAACAGCTTTGTGATATAAAAGAAAAACCTGTTTGAAATGTGCCAAAATAACCCCAAAACTTTCTGTTTTTTTGAGTTTCTTGTTTCCTGAAACTTCTGATATCTGTGTATATAGTTTTGTATGACAGATTTTATTAGCTGTGACCCTGGTTGAGCGAAGCTGTTCAACATATGCCTATTCGTATTGTGCACAGTGCAGTGAACACAGCGATCCATCTCTGCCAGGAACTGTGGACTGATGGTACCAAAGACTATGGCTGGGCTGCTCAGATACAGCAACACTGACATTTTAGGGGCATGCTTGTGTGGGCAGGCATGTATAACCAGTCAGGCCACCTGAGAAATGCAAAAATACTATAGCTTGTATACAAATATATTTTTATATGCAAGTATATATGTATGTACTTTCAGACAAAAAGCAGCCCAGTTAGACTTACTGAATATGTACAGCAGTGCCCAGCTCACAAGGGTTACTAGACATCCCTGAACAAATATAGTTAGATCCTCCAAATCCACCTGAACAGTATGGTTTGTAAAAATGCTGACATGTTAGCCTAAGCAGTTCCCCAGAGAGCAGGCACTTTCTTCTGTGAATGACTAGAAAAGGATCCAGCAGTATCTTAAAAGCAGAATGATGAGGTGCATCCCCAAGAGACAGAGGTGAATGAAAGACATTCACCTTAATAATAATAATGATGATACCTTAAGGGGGCCTGTAAGAAGTCTGGATAGGGACTTTTTACAAGGGCGCGTAGTGATAACACAAGGGGAATGGCTTTAACCTGCCAGAGGGGAGACTGAGCTGAGCTCTTAGGCAGAAGCTCTTCCCTGTGAGGGTGCTGAGGCGCTGGCACAGGGTGCCCAGAGAAGCTGTGGCTGCCCCATCCCTGGCAGTGTTCAAGGCCAGGCTGGACACAGGGGCTTGGAGCAAGCTGCTCTAGTGGAAGGTGTCCCTGTCCCTGGCAGGGGTTGGAACTGGATGAGTTTTAAGGTCCCTTCTAACCCAAACTACTCTGATTCCATGAAAGATGCAGCAAGGGTGGATGTGAGCACTGCTGGCTGAAGCTGCCCCAATCCTCACCAGTGCCCACCATACAGTGCTGTAGGTCAGGGAGCTATTTAGGCTGAGAAAAATCAGCAAGAATCATCTTTTCCTTCCTGATAGTTTGGGCAATCCAGATCTTTGCACAGACGCAGGCAGCTAAGGAAGGGATGCCAGGTATAGGGATGGCACAGGAGGGACAACTGGCATTGCTGACAGTAGCAAGGCATGCTCAGCCCATCTTTTCCTTCAGACGTAGCAGGAGAGGAAGGGAAGATAGCGAGCTGTGTGCTAAAACCTGGCTCCCACCCCCAGAGATCTGGTGTGCATGGCTCTAGGCAAATCATTTCACTTCCCCACATGCCTCAGACATTTTGCTGATAGGTGGAGTCAGACCAAATTTGGGGGCTGCAGCTCCCCGTGTCTTCAGAGAGACACAATGAAAACCTAGGCTGTGGAGAGAGTGGGATTCCTGCCACTTGTGCTGAGAAAGGCCAGGATTTCAGCTTGGGGCTCAGGGTGCCATAGGATGCACATGTGACAAAGAGCACACAACACCTAACAGGCACAAAGTATCCCAGCACCTAACTGGTCCCTCTTAATAGCTTCTGCACATAGACAGAGTCCAATACAGGGGTATCTGGAAGGCTCACAGGCTTGTATTTAGAAAAAAAAATATATAGAGAGAACATTGAATGTTTGTTTTTTGCTATAAATAAAGTATAATCACCAAATCACAATATATTTGAGAGCACATGTGATTGACAGCCTATTCTTGGAGGGAAAAAAAAAAAAAAGAAGTGCATTTTTTGGCAAAGTTTGCTCAAGATTAAATTGTTCATTGTACAGGGCACCATCTGCCCTTGGAGAGAGATTTAGTTGATGGCAGCTGCAACCAAAGTGTGGAAGATATAGCTGAATTTCTGGTTTCTTTTCAACTAGCAACTGTCATTACAGGTCACATGCAAACTGTGTCATTTTCTCTGACAAGCAGGTTCTGCAGATTTGGGTGCTCACTACATTTTAAAATGCCACCTGTATAGATCCCACAAGAGAAACAGCTTTTGTAACACACCTTGGAAAAAGGGAATTTAGAGCAGATTAAGACAAAGCAATTATGGTGCAATTGTCTTGAACACACTGATAGTAGGTTAAGGTTCCAGGTTTACATGAATGGAGGTCAGGTCACTCACAACTAGATTTCCTCAATTAATTTAGGTGCTTAAAAAGAGCAAATTGTCATCTGCAAGTGTTTACTCGACTGCTGTGCAACTCCTCAGTTGCCTCCTTGTTTTCCTGTGCTGTAATTCCTGGTTGCATGAAACCCCACATTTTTTAAATCCTGAAGAGAATTTCTCAGTCATCAGAGACTTTTGTGGGTGGGTTTTATCCCAACCCCTACCTATGAGCTTTGACATTAGAATGTTTAGAGTCACCATGAGACAGCAAAGGCTACTCAAGAGTGCAAGATGCTGATCCTACCTCTGCATTCAGAGCTGTTTTGCTATTATACAAAACTCATCTCTGGCTGAAGCCAGCACCTCCAGGAAGGAATTTGTACTCCCTCCCTCTCTCCTGAGCACTGAAACTCTTCTGCTAGAGAATTACATTCCCTTTCTTGGCTGAACAAAACGGGAGGGGAGAAGTTAAGAGCACACCGGTAGATTTTATTAGGACTAGGAAACAAAGCAAAACAAAAAAGCAAACCCAAAGCTCTTTCCTTTCATCCCTGCTTTGCTATGAAAATGTCTTCATATTTCCAGGCTTGTTGACAATATTTCAGGATGGTACATCACACACCGTCTCCTCTGGAACAGCAGACATTGTCAGTGCTGGGAGACAACTACTCTCTGGATTGTACTTCACAAGGATTCTGTATAAAGCATTTCTATAGAAAAAAAGGTTTCTGAAATCTGTGAGTCTCAGCCTTGCAGACAAGGATGAGTTCTGCTTAATTTTCTTCTGATGATTTCCACATTTCCTACAAGAAAAACAACAGCTACTATTGCCTTAAGACAGATGAACGAGTTGTAACATGCCTAGATGTAAGATATGTTTTCTTTCACATGAAAGAATTTGCAGGCCATAAATTTGTTCTTAAGGTTATTCTGTGCAGTTTAAGCTTTAGGTCTATCACATTTTGTTGAGGTAGAATAGGATCATATTTTGAAACAGGATCTGTCACTGCTGGTGAATTTTTGACAAATCTGGGGTGATGAAATCTATGGTTTTGGATAAGTTTGGTTTGGGTTTTTTTAATGGTAGAGGCTTGGTCTTTCCAGAAAAATATTGTTCATGGTTTGAGGTGTCAGCACATCTTCCTGATTGCTCTGTGGTGTGCCCAGACCAAGCCTTCTCCTAGGAAGGCTCATGCTTCCATGCTTCTTTCTGCTGCAGAACAGAACTACTCTCAACCCTTGCCTTTCCTTAGGCAGATGCACCTATTTCCATCCATGATTTGACCGAGCCCAAGAGCTTTCAGGATTAGGACCTTTAAAGAGAGAACCAGAAAAATGCTTAAAATCTAAGACTGTGCCTGTTTGGGTTAGTTCTGTAGGAAAGGAGGACTGCTTGTGTCAGTCAGTCTGCAATACGCTGGTTTGCTTCTGTCTTTGTGAGGGAGAACTTAAAACACAAATTCCCACCTTAAAAACCAAAGCAGTGCACTCAGTGTGAGTTACAAGTAAATCACATACTCTGTGGTGCCAGAACTGCACATGCTCTTCTGCTGCTGATTTATCTACAAAATATATCACATGCCAGTTACTTGAATTAGGATCATGGGGAGAAGGGAATCATTAGAGAGTAGAAGAAACTCTAATGCATAAAAAAAACTTATCCGTTTGTCTCCTCCGCGATGCTTGTTTTATTTCCTCTTCATGTGCTGACAGTACTGATGAGGCAACGGGTGCTGTAATCCTAAGCAATGGCTTTGGGGGTGGCATCATTGTGGTTGCAAATGTTTGATATAGCAATAGCTTTGAATTTCCAGGCAGGGCCTTTTCCCAGTCATTGCAATGTGTTTAGCTGTGCTGGTAGGTGATCGGCATAGCCTGGATCAGGCATTTCCCTCCTGGTGCTGTTTTCTTCGCTACCAGAGTGCCCTGAAAAGCCAGGTAAATTAGACTTGGAGAAAGGGACACTGCATCTTTGAGTAATGAGGCTGGGAAACAGGGAACACATTTTCCACTAGCTCATGTCTCACTGTATGGCATTCTGATTTCGTGACACTTCATAATAAATCATTGCTTATCACTCACATGGGAACATAACATGGTTCAAGTTAAGATTCGTTAGTGATTGTAAAGAAGAAACATGAATTGCTCTATATCAGGGCTTTCTGATCATCTTTCTGTCCACTGCAGGCATTTTTTTAATCGTAACATTTACAGTAACAGTTGTTTAAAGCATAAATAAAAAGGAAAAGAAAGAGCAGAAAATATGAATAATGAAAATAAATTTATTTATCTTATTTATGTGTTTATGTAAACATTTGGCAATTGCTTTGCACAGAAGCTTGTATTCAGTGTCACAGACTGCTGCACCAACATAAGCTTCTAAAGCTGGGATTTTAAATATATATGTATGTGCATATATAAAAAAAGACCTAAATGCCAATACATTCATTTCCTGGAGGAGAAGGTTCTAGCAAGCATATCTAGAGACAATTTGCTTTAGCACATCTACCACAGGGAGAAGAATCTGGTCCTGTCCTG